AACACGAGGGGTACGTAATCTGCATCACTATGGGAAGGCCAGAAATTTATAAATCTTCTCCGCAGCCTCGTCTCTCTATCACGGTCAATAACCGATAGTGGCGTGACCAATTTGCCACCGTAGAAGTGTTGGGAAGGAAATTCGCAGATATCCGGGTGCTGAAGCAAAGATATAATTAGGAAGAAATTCAAGATAAGGAAGGGCACCTAGAATTCGGAACTATTTGGCTATAAACAGGCATTGAAGAGTACTCATAGGTAGTTATCTATCACTCAGCTATCGCTACAATCTTCTGGGACACCGAGATGAATTCAGACTCTCGCCAGATAAAGTATACATGTCACGGCTGCATCCCAACGGGTGGTGCGACTTAATTTGCGTTACGTTCGCTAGCAGTATGCAATCAGTGGGCAATCTTTTATAAGCGGCTTCAGGATAAAATTTCTACCAACTGAAATTTTGTGAGTGATAAGTTCAAAAAATTTCACTTACCATTCTGTATTGTTCTTCAAGCATAAACGCATTGTCGGAGAAACGTTCGAACATGGATATCCTCAAGCCAAGAGACCTGGCAAGTCTGTTCTTTACAATTGGTTGCAGCTGCATGTGATCTCCTATTAGAACCACTTGCTGTGCTTTTGAGTAAACAATCGGAATAAGAGTTTCCGGTTCCATACACATACCGCATTCGTCGACTATGCANGAGATGAATTAAGACTCTGGTAGACCGCCATGCCAGATAAACCATACACGTCACAGCTGCATCCCAGCGACCGGTACGACCTAATTTGCATCACTTTCGCTAGCAGCATGCAATCAATGGGCAATCTTTTAAAAGCGACTTTAGGATAAAATTTCTACCAACTGAAATTTTTTTACTGATGAGCTGAAACAATTTCACTTACCATTCTGTATTGTTCTTTAAGCATAAACGCATTGTCGGAGAAACGTTCGAACATGGATATCCTCAAGCCAAGAGACCTGGCCAGTCTGTTCTTTACAATTGGCTGCAGCTGCATGTGATCTCCTATTAGAACCACTTGCGGTGCTTTTGAGTAAACAATCGGAATAAGAGTTTCCGGTTCCATACACATACCGCATTCGTCGACTATGCACTGCATGACGTTGTTACACGCCTCTCTCATTCTTTTACTTCCAGCAGATGAACAGGTGCAAAGCACAATCTGAACGTATTCTCCTTTACTTGAACTTCTTATGGCCCACTTTTCTGCACTCTTTATGAGCTGAAATTGCAAGATGTATAAGAGTGGAGCTAAAGAAAACTCCTTGCTTTGGCTCGGCAACTGCGTTTTATAGGTCTACCATAGAAACGAGAACCCGTGCAACCAATCAAATGAAAGGTATGTGATCAATCTGCTGATGAATAAAATTTACCAATCGTGACTTGGCTGACACGACTTCTGCC